ATCGCTCGCGCGAGGCCAATAACAAACTAAAAGAATGGGCACACAAAACATCTGCCGTGTGCAGCGTGATCGCAACATGACGTAGTAACAAGTGATAAAAATCTGTTTGTTTACAAATACAGTTAAGCGTCACACGTGAAAGTAAAATAACTCTTCTTGTAAGAGCAGTTAAATTTTATACACATTTTATTAGGAAATATATTAGAAGCTTTGATGAAATCGAATTTTTAAAAGGAAGTAAAATGTTTAAAACGTAATATTAAATAAATAAAATGCACACTCAATATGGGGGCGATATTTATTTGATTCACCTAGCACCGGTTGTGAGTTGCAATATACACAGTCCACGCGATCACAAACCGGCCGGACAATAAACGCGCAAATAGTAAATAACATTACTATAGTTATGATTACAATTAAATAGTCGAGTGATGAATAAATATAATACCAACAGTACAACAGTCTTAAAATTTGATTTGCGTAATTATGATTTCTTATGCTGACAGAAAGCCAGATTTTACATGAAATATTTAAGTGATCTGCTGATGATAAGAATGTTTTGTTGAAGATGATTTTTATAATAAACTATTCCACCTAATGTAAAATTGTTAGTTATATTCATGATTTAAGAATTGTAGAATACCTGCTTAAATTTACGATGCCAATATAAACAGCAAGATGTGATTTTATTCCAAGAAATAAATATTCGATATCTGCAGGTAAACAAACTTATCTCTTGTGCGAAATCGCGTGATCCACACGGACACGGCGTGCACTCACTACCACCGACAAGCAATATTTAACGCAAAAACGTGCATCTTAGTGCCATCTAACCGTCTACCTACTAACGACAGGTTTAAATTCAACTCATTTTATTAAATATGCAACAAAGTTGATATGGTATGAAAATACCAATCATAAGCAATTTAATAATGCCTATCAACTCGCAATATTGCTTTAATTTGTACTCTATGATACAATATAATAATATTATATTCACACATCGGAGAAAAACAAACATTCTGTGTGGAGTATCGAAATGGTGAGATAAAAGATACTTACTCAAGCCCATAGGGACCTCCTAAGCACAGAAAACAAAATGACAATATGTATCCGATTGATCTAGCAACCGACAGCGTCACACAATAACCGACAATAAAACCGCAGAATTCTTGTAATTTGAATAATATACCTACATCAAAAACGAGCAAAAAATAACATAGTTAAATTGAAAATCTAGTATGAAATTTTAATTCATACGAAAAATGAGCAAATGGGAGTCAGTTATACAATCATCCACGTACGGTGCCCTGAACACGAGTCACTTCTACCGCTGCCCTTGTACGGTGCCCTGAATGGGAGTCACTTTCACCGCCATCCTGTTACGGTATACCGAATGAGACTCAACTATACAATTGCAATTAATTGCAATTAATTGTAATATAACTAAATAAACAAAGATAAATCAACGTTCTTGACATATTTTAGTCAATAAACTTGAATAGTGCATACTTTTTAAACTAAAAGCAATAGCGACCAACAGATTGAAGAATATGAAAGATAAAAATTAAAAACAATTCTATTCTTTAGGTCTTAGGTCTTAAAAGTTCATTTTTTTAATTATAGTCAAAAGATATGAAATAAGAATACAATCGCTTCGCTTGAAGTGACAACACATGCTATGCAATTTTAAACACATTTATGAATATAACAATCTATAAAACACTACAGAAATATGATAATAAAGAAAAACAAACGACTGAAATAGAATCAATCAATGCGGTTAAGAATATTATTTAATTTACTTACTGGTAAGTATTGTAAAACTTCCATCGTAAACGGCATCCGTCGGCATCCCGCTCACGAACCAATACACAATATTTGCATTTCGCGAACATCTTATAAGCGATAAATCATTAGCGAGACACAATAAGCAAAAATAATCACTAAGAACACGGAAAGTAATACGCGTTACCGAATTAAATCCTAAAAAAGGAGAATCGCGGCGACCGCGTGCGAACCATCCGTCGGATACGGTGAAACTAATTTTTATACCTGCAGCGTGAGCAAACAATACACGCAACGCCATCACACGGTTGCGTATATAGTACAAAACTATACACTACTATCGTACGCAAATCATCTGACAATAAAAGATAAAAACAAACCGGTCGAATTTCAGTGCGGAATTCAAATAACGCAAACGATTTCGAAACATTGCGCAAAATAAAATTGCGAAAATTATCAATTGTTGATTCATAGTTATTTTATATGAACTGAGTTTTGCATATATCAATTGCGGTATTTATAGGGTATATTTGATTAGTGGACATGTTCATAATTCAAACTCGTGTAGTTAACAAGCCAACACTAGTTGTACACCTATATCGCGTGTCAGAATAAGAATACTTAATAACTGTAATTAGTGCTATATTTGTGTTTATATGTATATTAGGGTTTAATGATGATACGATTTGAATTTTTGAAGTGAAAACTTTTTTAGAATCGTTGAGAATTTAAAATTAATGAAACGACTCTAAAAAGGGACACTATTTGTTTTTCTCCGATGTGTGAATATAAAGTTATTATATTGTATCATAGAGTATAAATTAAAGCAACATTGCGATTTGATAGGCATTAGTAAATTGCATATGATTGGTATTTTCATGTAATATCAACTTTGTTGCATATTTGATAAAATGTGTTTTGAATTTAAACCTGCCGTTACTAGATAGTCGGTTAGATGGCACTACGATGCACGTTTTCGCATTAAATATTGCTTGTTGGTGGTAGTGAGTGCTCACCGTGTCCGTGTGCGATCACGCGATTTCACACAGGAGATAAGTTTGTTTACCTGCCGATATCGATCTTTATTTCTTGGAATAAAATCACATCTTGCAGTTTATATTGGCTTCGTAAATTTAAGCAAGAATTCTTCATTTCTTAAATCATGAATATAACTAATAATTTTACATAAGGTGGAATAGTTTATTATAAAAATGATCATCAGCAAAACATTTTAATCAACAGTATTTTTTCTTAAATTATAGTTCAAAATATAGTTAATATTTTATTATAAAATATATATTGAACGATAATCAGAATTAATTTTTAATTTTTTTGAATTAATTCTTTAATTAATTCTTTATTGAAAAAACCGTTATTTTGCAAATTAATATTTTATTAGTTTAGTAAAAATAATTATTAACATAATAAGTAAAGTGAGCAAATTATACGATATTCCCCCACAAATAATTGTTATTAAACGATACTCAATTAAAACCATTGCAAATCAATGAAATAATATCACTACCGAATTTATTTATTAATTAATAGGTACCATCCATGAATCAGTGACTTTTCACCTCATCACATACTGTGTATAAAAATGATTCAATAAAACACATAAAAATCTTTGTGTACATTTATATTTATCATACTATCTTATTTCCTCGTCAATGTTTGTCATCATATTCTGCTAAACACAATGGATATTTAGCCTACGTTAAAATATCACAATATTCATTCATTTCATATCGCCTAAAGAGAGTCGTACACTAAATTATGTTTAACAATAGGTTTCGCTTAGAAAATCTAGAATTACATTTTACGTTAGTTTTCATTTCAAACACATGCGCGCACAGCGCATTGCCATCTCCCATTACTAAATCAATTCAATTATTTAATTACTCCAATGACGTGCATGCATTCATTCAATCGTCTTAATCGGTAATTGTACAAATAGAAAGGATATGGTATGAATACAGAGATATGAAGATGTGTTAGAAGATTCGATATGGAGAATTCGGGGACGAGAGAACATTGACGAACATTTCTTGGCTTTTTCCTGCGGGATATGTACACGTTACAGTTTTTTTGATATAGAATCATGAATGATAGTAATTGGAAGTGTTTGTTGTGTGTGTGTTTGTATTTATATATTTGTGTGGTATATGAATTCATTTTGGAGGGTTCTGGAACGAGAGAACACTGACAAGAGTGTTCATGTTAGATTTAGTTTAGCGTTATTTACAGATTATCTACACACCGGGCGCGGTTTGATCTGATTGACGCTGTTTGTGTTTACTCAGCGACAATTCCATCGAATTCAATTTCGATTCGATTCGGCTTTTGTTAAAATATTCAAAGATGTGTTTTGTTTGTCGCGATTGTATTTACATAAATGTTTTCATTTGCAATTTTGTGCTGTTCGACATTTTGTGCGTCACGAATTTTCATTCGATTTCAATCACATCGACCCACATCGGTTTATTTTGAATTTTTGCGTTGGTTTCACAACAACTCGACAACCAACGCCACCTGTCGTCAATTACTCAACACTATGTCCAATTAACCGCCATCTTAATAGCTTTTATGACAACATAACATCAATAACATGATAAGTAATAACCTCAAAGATTGTTTTACATTTCATCATCGCTTAAGCTTACATTATTTAACAATATTTACAATATTTATAATAATAGCATTTATATATATATTATTTCATATGACATGATTTACGCTTTTTAATAATTAATTTATTAATTTTATGTATGTATTATCCTTTTTGATTCGATTATCATCATTTTTTTAAGAAAACAATATATAATCGTTTCATGGACGGTCGAAATAAAAATCGGGGAAGTACATAAATGAGACAGATGCGACATCTGTTGCCGTGTAAATGAATCAAAATGAATGTTTAGTTGTAAAATGATGGAAATTTAAACACAACTTTCCGGTAATCGGTTTGCCATGAGACGTTCTTTGATGGCCAAACCGTTCAACTCCAAATCGCTCGGTTGCGTATTACCACCTGCAACGCCACCTCGTGTCAGTGTGGCTGAATTACCATTACCTAAACGTAATTCTTTCGGTCGAGAGTCTCGCGGAAATGTTCCCACCATCGCTACTGGATTATTATACTGATGATACTATTTAAAAATTAAAAATTACATGTTTGCATAATAATTAAATAATTCATATGCTAATTACCGGATTATTATCAACAGCAGGTTCACCAGACGCTGGACTAACCCAGTGTTGCGCCACGCTTGTTTGATTAAAACCTGGTGAAGTTGGAAGCCGCCCGCCGTGAGATGGCGCTACTAACTGTCGGCTTTCGCCATCTGGTGAGCCTAAAAGTGAATTAAATTAATTTTTAACTACGAGTTTAAAATATAAAAACATATAATTACCATATTTTGCTGGTATGACATCTGGATCTCTTTCGTCACCTGCGCAATCTCTTGGAGAAGCACTCCTAAGCAACGGTTTTGTTGATGATAGATTTTGGCCTAAGTTAGCCCCGCCTCCAAGAACTTTTGTTCCGCTTCCGGTCCGTTGGTCTGCGCACGTCGTACCCGCACAATGACAAAGAATACAATGGCGATTATTGTGAAAGCGCCACCTATGACAATGCCCAGCAGCGGTGAGATAGGCAACTCTCCATCCGAAGCTGCAAAATAAGCGAATCATTTTAGGAATTGAATTAAACATGGTTTACAATAAATTTCCATAATTTTCTTAGTCCCATGTGCCTTGCCAGTTGCTAAGATTATTGAAGGACTTATGCAGGACCTTTGAGGGATTGTTATCCCTATGGACTTGCTACACTAACAATTGTATTGTATAAATTTACTCTCAATAAATTCTAGTTAATTCTGTATTTCTAGTATTAGACATTGGACGCCATCTTGTCTCGGATATAATTTGTAGCGTCCTGAATGGACATTGATAAAGTCTTACAATCCTGCACCGCAAGGACAATTAGTCGTCTTATCGGCGCGGATGCGACCATTGTACGCGTGCACTATTCGATTGAATTCCGGATGTCAATTTCATGGCATTCAAGACGGATGACGCCACGCCCACACCGGAAGTCCGAGAGATGCGTCATGGTGCAAGGAAAGTCGTCGTGCAGGATATGAATCGCCATGGACAGGAAGAGTGCTAGAGGTCATGCTATATCATTGGATCTGGACGTGTGGGGATGATGTATGCACAGTCGAGGGTGTTTGCAGGAATAAAAGTGGAATAATTCATGGTTAAAGTAGGATCAACGTGGATGAAACGTTTCGGGCGGTAAATTCAATGTTTTGGTGTTTTGTTCAATGGTTGGTGAATTATTAAAGGATGCTTGAGGGGTTATTGATTTTTAAAGATGATTTATTTAGTTGAGGGTTGTTTTACTGACGTTTTTAGTGGTTTAAGTTTATTGAATTGCACTTTTGATTTTGTTTGGGGAAATTGCAATTAATTTGATATTATTTGTGTATTAATAACTAGCTGTTGCCCGCGACTTCGTTCCGGCAGTGTTTAAAGAAAATGTAATTCGTTTTTACTCTCTTGTTCTAGACATACTCGTAGTAAGAGTCAATTCTATCAATAAGATTAGCAATTTTAATTTAAAGAAATTAATTATATAAAGTTTTGTCAATAATGCACTTCAGCGCGCCATCTCGAATTCAACTATTTAACTATAACTATGATTGAATCTCAATGTCAAATTTTATTCTATTGAAAAGAGCTGTTTTGAGGATTTTCCCGGCAATTATTCGAATTTTTCTCACCTTTTAAACCTTCCCTAGACCTCCACGAATAATTCAAGACCAAGATAAGATAAATCCGTTCAGCCGTTCTCGAGTTTTAGCGAGACTAACAAACAGCAATTCATTTATATATATATAGATTGCTTTTAAATATTAAAATTGATATTTTTTCTTGCTTTAGAAATTTTTAAAAAGTTTTTTTAATATTTTAGAAACTAAATAATTGATTATAATATTTTTAAATGCAATTAGCAAAATTTGAAATATTCAAATAAAAGTAAATTACTGTTAAAATATCAATTTCCTGTGTAATATTAAAAATATTTTAAAATGATAAGAAACTATGTAGATAATTTTAATATTAAAATTGACAAAGTTATGTGATTCTAAAGAAATGTGTTTTTTATTTAGTTTTTACCTGTTCGCTTTTCAGCATCACGAAAAGTGACTTCTTCTAACACCACGCCATTGCTCCGCCCCTTGGCGTTGACGGCAAAGACGACGATGCGGAACGTCACGTCCGGTTCGAGATTATCCAGGAAGAAGAACGGCTCGGCGAACGAAGTAATATTATACCGTGGAACAGCCGAACTGGCCGAGTATAACTCCAGGAGGAAATGCTGCGGCAGGCCGCCGTCAAAGCCCGACAGGCAGTAGACGTCCACTGAGCTGCTCGTCTGATTCGAAAGGGTGCAATTTTTTACCGGAAATGGTTTACCTACAAAAAAATAACAAAAATTTTAATTTTTTTTCAAATAAAAAATTTTTAAAATTTTTGATTTTTAATATAATTACCAGCTGCAACCACTTGGAAAACACATGGATTCAACTGATGTCCAACTGAGTTGATGGCCCAGCAGGAGAGCGAACCGTAATCCAGCTCAGAGACAGGAGTGTACCGCAGGACACTCGTCGTTCCGTTCGATGTCTTCGCAAAACGCTCAGCGGCGACGTCCAGAGTTTCGCCCGAGTTGTTGAACTTCCATCGGTAGCTTTTCGCTGGCGGGTCGGATTCGATTTCGCACACGATGTCGATGCTTTCACCTCGCGATGCACCCACAACTACAATCCTATCATATCGACAAGTTGGCGAATCTGAAATTGAAAAATAACATAATATTTTCCTTAAACATCAATTTCAATATTTTTTAGAAATCGCTTTAAATCCAATCTAAAAAGTCTTTAATTGCTGTTAAACGTAACAAACATGTTTATCGGTAAAAAAGTTTTATTATCATTGAGGATAATTGCCATTCAACTTTTATCCTCTGCCGTTGGATTTATTCCTGAAAGGACTAAAAGGTTTGCATGCGTGAGTGTGTGCACGTATGCAAATTGTTGGAAAGAGTTGCGCTGGGAAAATATTTTGCGATGCGGCCGCCCCTAATTGAAAAATCGCATTATCTAAATTGTTTGCGTCCCTGCCGAGGACAACGCCGTCATCCTTTCGAACACAAATGCTCTTGTAATCACATACTAACATGTCGCACGCTTTTTTAAGCTAAGTGACTTCGGCGCAGTGTCCACTCAACAATGTTGATTTTTCCGAGTAATTATCCTGCAGGATTATCCTGGAGATGCGTAAAAACAGTTAATATTTTTTGTTTGAAATAGAACCAAAAAATTAGGTAGGCGAAAAAATATTGTGTGTACAATTTGCAAAAATATTAAAAATTAATATATTTCCCTGAAAATGTGATTATCGATCTTGTGGGCATTCCTTTGGCCTGCTTAATCGACAGGGGCTGGTTTTGTGGTCCGCCGCTAGTTATGCATAACTTTCCGACGCCTTTGCGTTTCCAGCCAGCAATTTGCCCGTAACGATCCTTGATGATAATGAGCATCACCACAAAATGTTCGCAGTTTTTCCTCCACATTTTCCTCGCCCGCCATGTGGGATATCATTTGTCCGGCCGTTTGCATCTGCTCGCCGCGCCGCCGCCTATTAGCGCATAACGAACATAACGAAGTGGAAGCGACGTGCGAGGCGCGTTATCGCCGGAGGTGGCGGGCGTGGGTGGCAAAGGATGCGTGCCGGCCCGCTCCCAGGACGACGCTTTATCACGTCTGCACGCGTTTCCGCAGCCGCGAAGAGATAAAGTTATTACGATGCAATTTGTTACGGCGGCGAAATTGGAATTTTTCCGCGTCCTGACAGGACGTCATCCTTACCTGTGTGATACAGGCGGTGACTTTTCACGGTGGCGCGAGAATAAAAGATTGATCAATTCGTCCTGATAACGTCACACGACATGCTGCAAAACGCCCTTAGTGTGTTTTTTCCTTGCTTGCTTGCTAACAAATTCACAAAAAGCAAAACGCTTTATTCAGATCGCGCATGCTGGCGCTCATTATTCCCGCCGAAGAGGAAAAACCGGAAACCGGAAAAACACCAACGTGTCAAAGACGTCGAGGAGGCGGAGGAGAAAAAATCGCAAATAGATTGCGTCTTGCGTCTTTAAATGACATCGGCGTTTTCTCACAATTCATAAAAACACATCGTGCGTCAGGGAAACATCCTTTGCACCCTCCGTGTCCTTTCTAGCCTCACATGGAAAATTAATTGCATGTGATTTTTCTCTCAGCGCGTGTTTAAAGCGGGCGGTAATTGGCGTTCTCTTCTTGTATGATAAGAAGAGGAAGGAAGAGAAAACACCGAGTGTGGAGTGAGAGGTGAGGAGATGACTGTTATCCTTGGGGATGGAAATTAGGACAAAATATGCAAACACAGTACTCACACTGAACGCGAAAAGAAAGCTCGTTACTGAGCGTCTCGCCTTCGGAGTTCACCGCCGAGCAGACGTATTTTCCGGCGCTCTGACGCGTCACCTTTTGCAGGACGAGACTCTGATTGCTGCGTATTATCCTGGCAGACATGTTGTGATTTAGTACCAAGCCCTGGAACAGCGAAACAGTGAAATGTTTAGTGATATAATTCATTTGCGAATTTTTCTTGAACTAATTGAGATAACAATCTGAAATATAAATTAACAGAAGGAATATTAAATTCTTCATAATGTTAAATATTATTTTAAGGACATAATTAATTTATAAAGTGAGTTTTTATGCTTAAAGTCACAAAATATAATGAAAAATATACACGACAGATGTTTTATAAAACGGTTTTATTGATATCTTGGAAAATATTTGATATAAATTAAATTTTAATTTATTTTCTCATAATTAACTAAATTTTCCATTATTTTAAGAATTGAAGTAATTGTTATCTTAATATAAATATTGTTTAAATAAGTTTAAAATAAAATATTAGTTTATTAAAATTTTATTGAAATTTTTTGTATACTTTTCGATATAACTCTTTTAATAATAAATAAAATAGATTTTTTCTTTCAGCGATTCATAAACAGATATATTTTTAATAAATATTCGATTAAAATTTGAATCTGCATATATTTATTAAATAATTACCAACAAACATAAATTCGAGCAAACATATTTTAAATTTTAGCCATGTATTTATTTTGTTTTTTGTTTATAACTTAATAAATACTGACCAAAATGAAATAATTGAACTATATTCAATCAACCAATTAATTTTCCTACCATTCATGTACAAACAAATTGTCGAAATGTTATTTATTAGTAGCGTAATTATTAATCAAAGTCCAATCAATGTCTGAAAAAAACCAAAGCGTAATTTCAATTGATGTACTCGTACTCGTATATTATTTCGATTGAATTTATCGCGAGTTTGCGGAATTGAATCGCAGATTGCGGGGTATGTGCCGTGTGGGTTAATTCGCGGATTATAATAATTAGAACATAATGAAGCAAATTAGGCCACATGTAAAAATAACCGAGGCGTAATGAAGTCCCTGCATTATTAATTAGTGCACGTAATGCAGCCGAGGAGGAGGCGTGCAAAACGGCATACAATATCCTATATGCTGGCGTAGCAGCTTGCCGCCTCCGCAGCCGCGGCCGCATTAGTGTCGAATCGTTTTAATTGACAACGGCTCGCGCGCGCGCCATACCCTGTGCTGTTAATGAATGATTGATATGGTCTAATTACGCATTCATCGAACGCGCACCGAATTAATTATTGCTTATGATCTGCCCGCATAGCAAAAACACACTGATCTTAATCATGTTGGAAAAATTCTATATTTTATGATTTAAAATTATAGATTGGGGCAATAGGATTAATTTTGGCGTTAATTTATGGAATTTATAAAAAACTGCCCTTTGAATTATTTTTTTTAAGAATTATGTGGATATATTCTTAAGTATGTAGATCGATAATACAAAAATGAATCGCAAAATCTGTTTGTAAGCGCATAACTCAACAACGCCTGGACCAATTTGGCCAATTCTTTTTTTTACATGTTCGTAAAAGTCCAAGGATGGTTTTTACTGCGACGAAAATTCGAATAATTGTTGGGAAAACCTAAAGCCAGCCCTTTTTTGTAGGAAAAAAGTTGGCAATGAGATTCAATCATAGTTATAGTTAAATAGTTGAATCCGAGATGGCGCGCTAAAGTGCATTATTAGCAAATTCTTAAATAATTAATTTCTTTAAAATAAAATTGCGGATCTTATTGATAAAATTGTCACATAGTATGTCTTGAACAAGAGAGTAAAAACGAATTACAGTTTTATTAAACACTAACGGGGTCAAAATCGCGGGCAAAGCTAGTTTATAATAAAAAGATGTCTAATTTATTAATTTTCTGTTTTAAGCTCCACCCCGTGACTAAAGTCCGTGACTAAAGTATTTTAGTCACGGCATTGACCGTCCGTTTTTAAAATACTATTTTTTGTGTCTCGAACCCGTTAAATAACAAATGTCAATTTATTATTATATAGAATATATAATTTATTTACTTGGAATTAAAAATTTGTAAAAATTTAAACTGTAAAAATTGTTCAAGTCATTATAAGTTCTAAACACCGTAACATTGCCGATAATGCTTTTTTGGTAATTTAATTTTTTTTGTTGATGTTTTAAGAGGTAGTTTTTCTATAGGTGTGTTTAAGTTCAGGAGTGTTCGCTTAACCGCAAATCGAGGTCGATCGACATCGAAAGTTGGATTTTTGCACTCGGGAAACTTGCGCTCGCATGCTCGAAACGACTTCGCCGCCCCAACAACCCCGCAACTGCCGCCCAAGACGTCCGAGTTAGGTAAAGCACTCGCGAGCGAAACGATTGTGTAGATTGCATATCGGGGCGGCGGTTAATTTTGCGCCCCACCCCTGCAAATGCGAGAATAATAAGAGAATAAAAGGTTTTGATATCGACGTCAAGCACGCCACCCCCATGCACCTTTAAAACAGAAATAAAAGAATAAAAATTGTGTGATTTTTCACCAGAATAACAAAACGTATAAAGATGAAATACATTCGTAACAAATATATTGATGTGTGTTTTAAGATGTCACCGCCACAGCCACCGCTGGAGCGCTAAACGTCAATTCCCGTGAGGATGTGTGACTATGCCGCCTCCATATATATAGAGGGCAAAGCACCAAACGACAAACAAGGTAAGACGTTCGAAATTCGAATGGAGTTCGTCGCGTTTTAGGAAACACATCGGAATGTCGACGATTTTTGGCGGTTGACGCCCCATCCTCTTCGCTTTGATGCCGCCCCCGCGCTTTGACAGCTGGCAAGTGCACACGCCGCCAAGGAGCGCACAATACGTCGATATTATGTTGTCGTGTATACAATATCGTGAATCTTGAATTCCGACGCGATTGACTGACACGTCTCTAGCGGTTTTCGCAAAAAGTGAACTAAAATGGAAAAATTGGAAAATATGACGAAAAAAAGTTCAAACAAAAAATATTGACATCATAACTTCTATTTGACTTTAAATAAAAATCTTGTTTTTATACAATATATTTTTTAAATATTTTTTTTTGTAAATTTATGAAAATTGAAAAATAATTTTCTATTTTCAGAAAAATCCATTTTTGTAATCTCTCCGCTTCAATCACCCGAATGACCGAGATGGCATTAATCACAATTTCAATTAAACAAAGAGCCGGCCCGACATTCCATTAAAACGACGTTTTGCCGCCGCCGCCAACATTTTTGTCCTCGCCCATTTCCGCAATCTTAATGCCTTGCACATCCCAATCGCGATTGCCGCTGGAAAAATTTATAATATCTCTTGCACGAAAGAGTTCTTCTTTCGCCGCCCCCGCGTGTCTAAAAATATGAAATCGAATAATCGTCTCGAATCGCAGAAATAATGGAGCGTTTAGCACTTTTTGGCCCGCTTGCCTTAAGAATAAAAATCATTAAAGGGTTTTCATCGTTTTTATTCCAACGGAGGCGGCAAAGGCGGCAGACGCGAATCGATAGTCATAGATTGATAAAGGGATAGATGGGAAAGTTAATGAGCTATGAACCGCGCGAACAGAAGGGAGCGAATGGTGCAGAAACGTGCAGCGTACGACGCGCCGCCGCTCGCACCAACAACCGCCCCCGGTTTTCACTCTAACATGAACATCAAGCTTAGAGCAAAGCCATCGAACGCTGAGCAAAGAATGCATGTGCAGTGTATTAACCATCCTACAATGTTCATCCCTTCCAACATTGGGGGGTGGCATGGGGCGGCAATCTCTATCAACCACCAACGCTTAACATAAGGGTAGAATGCTTCTTCTTGATGGATATGCTTTCAATGTTTAGTATTTAGTGTTTACACACATTGTATGTACATGTCAAAAGTTTTATAAAGTTGTACATACAATGTGTTCATAGTATCCTTGTATCAATTTATCATTTTTTTCACGCGCTTAATATTTCCATTAGATTCGATGTGGTTGGAATATTTCCAGTCGAAAAATATGTTGTTGTATGCCGCCTCCGACACGTCGTAAATCGTAAAAAATCGACTTGGAAATTGATGATCCCCACGTATACAACCCCCGCCAGGACCTCTTTTTGCGCGCAAATATTTTGTCAAGACGTCAAATGCATTCCACAATCCGCATCGAGATTTCACAATTTCACATCAACCCGCCATTCGGACAAACAGGATTATTTATATTCCGCGTCTTAATTTTTTCCTTTTTCTCCGACGTTTTTTGCTTAATCGATCTCCGGGTGGGATTTTTTCGTCGACGAGCGCCGTCGATGCAATTACTACACCCACATGTCCGTGACTTTATCAAGCAGCCAGGATCACCGGTCGTTTCATCAGCCGTGGTGGCCCCGGACTGGAAGACGGATTATCTTTAATTATCTAAGACATCCCTCCACATCGCATGCCCGGCGACAAGTCGTGTTTTTCCGGCTGCCAAACGAAATAAGCTTCCGATCCTCAGCGCGCGCCATCATCAGGACTCCCGATGATTGTTACACACGTTCATCGCTGTTTTTCGCCCGGAATGCTCGTCACTTGAACGCGAGTCTTTAACGCGCGAGGACATTTCAACGGCGGCGCGATAGCATCGCAAGGATTCGACGTGAACGGAAATCATGAAATCAGATTAGTTTAGACTCGTTTTTCTCGAAGCTAACGATACAAACACAATAGTTTCAGTGCGGGTGTGTTGAGGGCGGAATCCATCTACTCTCAGAGGTCGTGTTTGCCAACGTATGCACATATACACACATGAGTGGAGCAAGGATGCAGGACAATGCATTAAACATTTTGCTTGCTCAGCAAAGCGCACTCTAGCCATACTAGCCATACGGATGAAAAAATGGGAAATCATCGTGCCTATATCCTCATCAAAAATATACAGTGTGTTCACATATACGCACAAAATTATAAATGAAGTTCAAAAGCTTTAAAAAGTCAGGATTCGTGGAGATTTGATAAAAACTCATTTTACATACAGTGTGTCCAAAGAACAATCCTTTGATTTTTTTCAGTCATTGCAAGTGCGAATAAAAGATTCGTTTTGGAGTTTGCCGCATTTTCCAAATCACCGTTAGATATACGTTTAGATTAAGATCAGAAAATGGTGTGCAATTTCATCCCCCGCCCCCCGTCGAGTTTGCTTTCGGTATGCCATTATGCCTCGGAATGTACTGTAGCGATTTCCTTCTTATTTTCGCTTTTCTTTTTTTTGGGCAGGCGGCGGCTTAAATTAATGGTTGTGCGAATTCAATGAGCCGTCGCACACCTCGTGCCCCAAAGGGGGTAGTTTCACAACCGTTCATTATGGCAAATTAATTTTTAATCGAAATTTCCACGTATTTTTTTAATGGCATGTAATTTTAACTCACAAGTGTGTGGCGGTGTGTGAGCACGCCTGGACGAAAATTGAGTCCTGCCACGCAAACCCAAATGGGGCGGATTTTTATCCTGCGGTAGTGGAAGAAAAAAAAAGCGTCGGCGAGAAACGCAAAAACCTCGAGGAATTTTTCCAATAATAAATCCGACATTGGTTGCGCAAGGCGCTTGAAAATAAAATTCGCTGGCTGTGGAGGGATTTTTTGCGCCGCCTGTGCGGGGCGGCGGTCGTCTTTGAAGTCCGTCGTGACAGTCATTAATTATGACGACGCATCAACGTCGCCACGCCGCATAACAAACAACGCTTCATGAAAAAAAGCGACGATGCGGGAAATGAGGTGAGACACTTTAATATACCATATGTTTAGGATAATAAAAAAATTATTATCTACTCAATCAATGTGATGTTAAATATACAGTGTGTTTGGATGTACTTACATCATGCAACCAGGTGAGTCGATGCCAATGGGGGTTTGCCTTGATGTGACATTCAAAGTAGACGTCGTCGCCCTCCTTGATGTCATCCGGGTTGAGGGTGCTGCCCAGCCGCAGTGAGACGATGGGCGGATCTGCAACAATAGAGCGGGCACAATGACGTGAGGCGTGCGTGGTTGAGTTACTGGAGGCGGCGGTGGTGGTGCGCATTATGGCGCAAAAACGGAGCGTATAAATCATCGATAGACTATTCATGCGCGACACGACACAAGGCAAGAAAGACGCTGCCATCGTCGCCGTCACCGCCGCCGCCCCCCGGTAGCATCACCACCGTCGTCGCACAGCGATTGTTTGCCAGATTTGTTGATGCGTTGTGTTGTTCGTTTGTTTACTTGTTGTTTGTTTGCGAGCGGAGGCGGCGGTGGTGAGCGCGTTCAAAAGGAAAACTGACGCGCGAGACAATGAGCAGATTCGCAAGGACCGCCGGCGCGCCTCGCTTTCTGTCATCTTTGTGCCGTGCCGTGTCCCTCGTCTTTGCATCGTGGGCAAAGAACGAAGAAATGGGGGCAGCAGGCCGTTGTGGCGGCATCGCAGGGGGCGCACGTTGATTAGTTCCGACAACTTTGACATGCCTTATCGACGACAACGCAATCTCGCACAATAGCAATAATTGTCAAATGTTAATAATTTATAGCTGAAATTATTATTAAAAAATATATTTTGACTTAAAAAAAATAAAAATATATTATAGGTTAAAATTACTTAAAATTACCAAAAATGTAAAGATTTGATGAAAACTGATTTCACATACAATGTGTCCAAAGAAATTTTATTTAAAAATTGAACACATTGTATGTTACAGAGCATTATGGTAATCGCGGATTAAAAATCAATAAAGTTGAAAAATTTTCGGTGGAAATTTCTGCCGGTGGCGGCATGGACGTTAGCACAATTAAAAACTAATTAGCGTTTTGTTCGCCTGAACAAAACGAAATATTTTTTCAGTGAAAATTGCCAAAAACGCCACCGGCAAATGGCGCGTGAATTAAACGTATAAAGAACGAACAATCGCGACTTTCGTCCTTCTACAAAGAACAAAACAACAAAAAAAAAACACAAAAAAAGTTTGCAAGAAAACCATGCTGCTTATTTGCATTCGCATCGAGACATCTGCACTAGCGTTCCATGCCGTGTTTATCCTGTGACGTCCTGTTTGCTTCCGCCTCGACTGTTTTAATACTCCCGGATGCAGACAGGATAAGTAGGCAATTGACATACGCCGACATGCGACTCGCGACCGACTTTACGTATTGATAAAACACACGCCAACGCAAAAAAAGCAACCACGGAGAAACAGGACGAAAAGTCGAACACTCACAGACAACGTTGATCTTCCAGGACGTTTCCAGGAAGAGGCCGGTGACGTTGGGATTTTCCGCGCGGCACGTTATGGATTTGCCGTCGTCCTCCGTCGTCGGCACGAAGCTCAACTCGCTGATCGTGGCGTTCTCGCGCGTCTCTTCCTGCGAAAATCAACCAGGAACACAACATGAGAAAAAGGACCTCACAACGTAATTATTACAACATGTGTCATGTGTCACATGGGTGACTATATTATATAAAGAAAAACAGCATACATTTCTGTTATCCTTCATGCAACAAATTATAATACCGCTTTTTAAATATTGTCCTGAAACAGGACACGACCTTATTTTTTTTATTACTGTGCATAAATCTTTTGTTTCATATGAGAAAGGATTATAACTCACGCATAATATAAAACGTTAGAAATTAGCATGTTTATTTATATACAGTGTGTTTTTATTTTTTATTTTGTTTTAAGAAAATAATTATAACACCCTGTATATGATGACAATATAAAATATAGTTCATTATTGTTCTGTGTCTCTGTAATAATTTATGTTTCTTTCAATCGTTTTGTTTTGTTCCTCATCCTTTGCATTTATCATTGCAAGTCCTGCGAGTCTTCATTCATATTTATTAACCTAGTTGAATTCGTAAAGTTAAATAAGCATTTGAACGTTGCATTAGTAATTTCTACCTTGGAGAGACAAACGGCGGCGACAGTAGCGGCTACATCCTTTGTTTTTCCTGCATCTTTGCCGCCCCTCAAGGCACTAATACTGTTTGTTTTCTTGCTTCGGTTGTTTCGCGTTTCTTGACAAACTTTTTACGTTTTGAAAGACTCGAAGGCGAGTGAATTATAGTGTGTTGCTTGTTGCCGCCTCCCGCAGCCACCCACCACTTCGGCGTGGTGAGGTTTTAGTCATCTTCAACTATTGAAATTGAAACGAGCGCAACAAGCAGGCGTGCGGAGATGAAAACGGAAGGAAAATGAAAAATAAGGCAGTTTTCTTTGCTTCCGGTTGGAGGAGGGTTGAAGGGTGGGTTTTATAAAGTCGTGACTTGATGCTTAAAGCGGGTGGGTATGAGTTAATAGAAACACTTGACGTTTTGATTAATTTTGATGAGTTTATATAAACTTGCTAGTCCTCGGTCTTACAGTCAAGGGTTTTGTCGGGGGTGAGTGGAGCAGCGGGGGTAGGAAAACAATGTCGCGACGACCGCGTAACAACGTCGCTGCGTGGATTCAACCAGCCAAGCAAACAATACATCGAATAAGTTTGTTTTTCAACTTTGCTTTGTATCCTACTAAAACCACCCCTATTTTCTTTTAAGGGGTGCACAAAAAATACACGACAATATTTTTCACATTTATTTGTCTTTTTAGTTAGTAATTTCGTATGACACTGTGATGATGATTAGCGATTTATTTTGCGAGGGTGCAAAATAAAACTTAGGGGATGAAAATTGAAAAAGTGGCAAAATGTCTCCAGAATTAATGTTTCATTTTACAGAGTGCTTATTTTATGCAACTTTCGCTTCAACAATTTCATATTTTAAATTTTTAATTTTTGCAACCCTTAAATTGGCAATGGTCCGAAACAAATTTGCGAAACGTCAGAATAATTGCAACTCTCAAATTAAATAACATTTATTAAAACATTCACATTGGCCTATTTTAGTGTTGAGGGTGATTACCCCTTTTGCACCCTATATACCGCCGCCCCCAGCTACCGCCTCTGTTGTGCATCTGTGCATTTATGCGTGTTGTATTCATCAAAACATAAATGTTTTATTATTGCGTTTTCGGCGCGCAACGGATGCGGCAGCAGCGGTGGCGAGCGAAACAATACCGGACATGACCGCCCTTTTTCGACCGCCTCCCCAGCTCGAATGCGGCTGATATACGTACAATTACATCGACATCGACATCGGCGCGCATAAATATTATTAATTTCGCGCATTATTGGCGAAATGATTAAAGCGCTTCGCGTTTTGCGTTCGCGCACCCCCAAAAACCCACCCCCTACACTCAACCACGCTCGTCGACATCCAAGGACTGTAATATTTTATGTGCCAAATGTAATTTGGCAATTTCGCCATTTTCCTAAAACGATTTTATCATTTTACGCGCACCCTTAAAATCATCCCCTAATTCTAATTTTCAGTGGTAATAGTAAGATGTAAAATTAAGAACCGAATGTTAAAATTCCGGAATATATTTGAATATTCAGCGAATCTTTAATTAACCATTATTGCAACGGTTGCATTAAGCTCTACTCTTGGCGCTGGAGGCGGCAAGCTGGGATTAGCTCTCCTCTTTCAGCGCGTTAGTTATGATCTTAATTGGTATTGCTAGGTGCTGATCAGGTCGGAATGGGTTTTCGCTTTGATTAAAGATTTAATGCTAATTGAAATGATGTGCACCTCTTCCGAAATTTTGAACACATTGTATATTTCTTATAAATATTCTCTGTTTGTAACAACTTGCAGGTTACACTTTTGCGTCACTCTCAGTGCCGCGAATAATTAGCGAAAATGTCGAGAGTTTCAAACGCGTCGTGAGTTTTCCTTTTTGCCGCCTCCGTCGTCGTCTCGAACGCTGGCTCAGTGCTTATGAAATTTAATTTTCGTAATTAAACGTTAGGTATCCACGTTTTAATGCATTTTAATAATAAACATCTCACAACATCCGGCTGCAACGTCTGCAACTTATTTTACACGGCGACGCCATCTTAATTCAAACATGTGAAAATAATTTACGTAACAAATTTTATAGAGCGAGAGCCAGTGACGGCCAGACTTTCGTCATTTTAGGAAAGATGAAATTTTGTCCATGTGTTTCTCCAACACAGGTAAGAACGATCCCCAATTATGAAACCTGGATCGTGGTTCCTTTGGCAGTTAACAGCCAACAAAGATGTACAAATGATGACCTCAAATTCGTTATTTTAGCAAACTCCATTTTTACATATTTTGTTCGTAACATTATTATAACATGCGCTACTAATTGCCAGACACCTAGTATGGTTCCAACCCTAGCCAGACACCCCTAAACTATAATATTTTTGAACTGTTTTACTTTCGTTATATCAGGAAAGCTGAATTTGAGTCACATTATGCAGAGAGCTATGAAACTGTGTTTTCTTTCACGCCAGACAGTTTGGTCGGTTCTATCATCCTGCCAGACGCATTGAAAGTGTTAAAAGTTGCAAAAGTTAAATTGTTTAAACATGAAATTTTCAGAGAACAGTTATTTTATTTGAACAAATATTTAATAATAATCATCCCTGTCGTCGATAACTGTTTTCTGAAAATTTCATGTTTAAACAATTTAACTTTTGCAACTTTTAACACTTTCAATGCGTCTGGCAGGATGATAGAACCGACCAAATTGTCTGGCGTGCTGGAAAACACAGTTTTATAGCTCTCTGTATAATGTGTATCAAATTCAGCTTTCCTAATATAACGAAAGTAAAAAAGTTAAAAAAAAAATACTTTAGGGGTGTCTGGCTAGGGTTGGAACCATACCAGGTGACTGGCAATGAGCAGCGCATGTTATAATAATGTGACGAACAAAATATACAAAAATGGAGTTTGCTAAAATAACGAAACATAGGTCATCATGTGTACATCTTTGTTGGCTGTTAACTGCCAAAGGAACCACGATCCAGGTTTCATAATTGGGGATCGTTCTTACCTGTGCTGCAGAAACACATGGACAAAATTTCATCTTTCCTAAAATGACAAAAGTCTGGCCGTCACTGGCTCTTGGTCTATTAATTAATTTAGAAAAATATTAAATTCAAAGTTACACTTACTTTCGTGCGTCGAAGTTGACGTTTTCCTTTGTACCAGGTTATGATTGCAGGGGGGCGGCTTCCGGCTGATTCACAAGTCACTTCGTAGCGACGATCTGCCACCAGTGGTGTTTGGGTTTTCAAAATGGTTGCTGTTAATGGTTTTACTGAAAAATAAAAAAAAATATTTATTAACTGTAATGAACACATTGTATGTTGTGCTTTATTTTTTGCGCGTTGGAAGTTTTACTTGTTAGTACACAAAACTTCACATTTGTAGCAGGATGTGAAGAGATAAGTGTAAGTAGAAGGAGTAGATAGGTGCAAGGACGACAAGGATGTGTGCAATACGGATTGCAAAGTTTAACGTTCTTCAAGACGAAACTACAATATCCTATTAAAACTTGTTTAATCATTATAATTACTTCTTTCAACCGCGCGCGATTATCCCTGGAAGAAAAGGATCATCAAGGATAACAGGTTCTGGAAAATTCGCGAAATTGCTGCGGTTAGACATTATCTCGCGTTCATAAAAATTAACCTCGGATTAAAAAACTTTTTTTTAGTTCTTAAAATTATCATTAACTCCAAAGAATAGGACTAGGAATTAATTTCTTGTGTTATCAACAAAAAAAAATTTAAAATATTTCTTACAATGAATATCGAGCATGACGAAAGCTTCTTTTGGCTCGGTGAGGATGGTGTTCACCGCTTGGCAGGTGAAGATGGCGTCCAGGTCCTTGCGGCCGACATTCGGCCACAATAATCGATTCTCAATGACGTCGCCGGCGTTGTGTTCGTACTGGTCATCAACAGGGAGGCCGTTGACCAGCCAACGCACCACTGGTTCTGGATGGCCGCCCACCGTGCGGCACGTTAGCGTGATATCGTCGCCTTCTTCATGGGGACCTACACTGCCGTTTAATTGTCGCCCCCATTTATCCAAAATTGTTGGTTGTTCAGGTGGTACTGAAAAAAAAGAAAAAAATAAATTAAAAAATTATACATTTTAGAAAATAATTTATTTCATAATTTTAATAAATTATAATTTATTATATACTAGCTGTTGCCCGCGACTTCGTTCCGGCAGTGTTTAATAGTAAGTAAGAGTCAATTCTATCAATAAGATTAGCAATTTTAATTTAAAGAAATTATGCATATAAAGTTTTGTCCATAATGCACTTCAGCGCGCCATCTCGAATTCAACTATTTAACTATAACTATGATTGAATCTCAATGTCAAATTTTATTCTATAGAAAAGAGCTGTTTTGAGGATTTTCCCGGCAATTATTCGAATTTTTCTCACCTTTTAAACCTTCCCTAGACCTCCACGGATAATTCAAGACCAAGATAAGATAAATCCGTTCAGCCGTTCTCGAGTTTTAGCGAGACTAACGAACAGCAATTCATTTTTATATATATAGATAGATTAGACTAGCTTTAACCCGGGGCTTCGCTCGCGAATATCCAAAATAATGAAGTTGCGTCCGTACGCGTCTTTAGTCACAGAAGAAGTAACAATGAAGTTGAATGGCGGGAAGTTTAAAATGGCTGAAAGTATTGTCTATGGAAGTATAGTGTACAGTCTCCATAGTGTAGTCAATTGGATTTGATGTTCACGTAGCTGTCGGTAATACAGTGTGATAATACAGTGTGATGGTACTATAGTACTTAGGTTTGATCTTCATTGCTGGAATGCTAGATGGCGTTAAAGTAGTCAAATAGCCAGATTCAGAGGTATTATTGGCTAAACAATTTCTTTATTTTATTTAAAAAACAATTTTTTTTATTAAATAAAAAGTAGCCTATAACCATTCGGGGACCACTAAGAATATGTATACAATTTTTCATGATGACCGGTTAAGTAGTTTTTGCGTGAAAGTGTAACAAACATCAGGACTATCGCATTTATAATATTAGTAGGGATGTGAAAATTTAAAATTATTTTGAAGCTTTTTTGATAAAACATTTAAAATTGAGCTTTTGATAAAATTGAATGAAAATCAATATTGTTTGATGAGCGTGTTAAATTTGTATTTACATTTAATTAAATATTGTATGGTTTGATATCGCGCGCTTTGTTCCTTAGTTATTTAAAGCTTTTTCGGTGATAAAAGCGCCTTCCACGCTCTAGAATGAAGTAGAATTTATAAATTCATCCAGTTTAAGTTACCGCCTCCAGTACGAGTTTACGGTTAATCCCGGGTCTATTAATCAGCATTACGCGCCGCTTCCTTCCCCATCGTCGTGGGCTCCGCTTTTTCCGCGAAAAACGCCGAAAGCTCTTCGCAAGCTCGGCGCAATGTAAACACGCCGCGTTTACACAGACGAAATGAAAATATGATTTCGAATCATTTCTCTCTGACAGTATTTAAAATGCGTTGATTAATTATATTGTACAGGGCCAGCGAGGGTGCGGGGTGAAAGCTCGCAGCTTGCAGCTCGCCGCGTAATTCTCCATAAATATTAAAAAGAGCGAAACGGGCTTTAATGCTTGCGCGCGACACGCGGTCGTCGGCGGCAGGGAGGCTTCGAAAGCACCAGCCGTCCAGGCATCGAAAGCTCGCTGCTCGGTCGGGCGTGTGTGGAGAAATTTCAATGATTTATTCAACCGGATTTATTTGATGTTTAATTACGAATGCCAACGCAGCTTAAATCGGCACAACGCAAGCACACACATCCGTTGAGCTTTTTTTTCAAAAAGCTCAAATCATACAAAACAGATTCTATATTTTTTTTATTTATAAAAAAACAACACGGATTAATATGCATATTTTATAAGTTTAACTTTGTGGCAGAATGCGAGCGTATTGAAGTTTAGAGCTTTTGCGTAAAACAGTCATAAACGCTTTGATTATGCGCACTCGTTAACGTTTTGCGGAATTATGGCCGGGGACCTGCTTCCGACGCGCTGCTGGCTGCGGATAGATAGCGGCGGTAATTTGCAGATTGCCGCCGCCATCGTCGTCGCAGCCGCCGCCGTTTCCGCAACAAATAACTTCATAATAATAATAATGTTTACGATATGTGGGGCGGGCATGCGGGGCGCGCTCGTTTGCGCGGAAGCATAACAGGCGCGCGACGCCTGAAATAATATTACAGCCGGTGGAGAAGAGAATCATCCGCTCAAGGATGGCCAAGGAAGGACTTTCAGGATGATATTATTATAGTTCCGCAGCGTCTAGTGCTTGCACAGCTTGCTGACGTATCATAGGCAGGTATGAAAATATAGGTAAACAAAAATATTATTTACCGGAAATAAAATTCGTTAAATTTTATTACAAAAGTTGAGCTTTTGAGAGCTTTTTGCTTCATATTTATTATTAACTAGCTGTTGCCCGCGACTTTGTTCCGGCAGTGTTTAATAAAAATGTAATTCGTTTTTACTCTCTTGTTCTAGACATACTCGGAGTAAGAGTCAATTCTATCAATAAAATTAGCAATTTTAATTTAAAGAAATTAATTATATAAAGTTTTGTCAATAATGCACTTCAGCGCGCCATCTCGAATTCAACTATTTAACTATAACTATGATTGAATCTCAATGTCAAATTTTATTCTATAGAAAAGAGCTGTTTTGAGGATTTTCCCGGCAATTATTCGAATTTTTCCCACCTTTTAAACCTTCCCTAGACCTCCACGAATAATTCAAGACCAAGATAAGATAAATCCGTTCAGCCATTCTCGAGTTTTAACGAGACTAACGAACAGCAATTCATTTTTATACATATAGATTATTAATAATTTTATATGAAATGAAATATTTTGTGTTGATTAGTTTCTTGCTGTGTTTTGAAAATGTTTTTTTGTGAGCTTTTCTGGACTTGTTTAAGAACGTTGTTCATTAGAACATTTTTGTTGCTCTGGCTGGAATTTACGACACTTGGCTTGGATTCGGCGGCGGCGTTATAATGCTTTATGGTCGCGTAAATACTCGCGGACGGCGCGGCGCGTATGCATGAGGTATTAAAGCTTTCGCCGCCCCCGGGCGCGCGTCCAAAGGCAATCCCGGCGAATGCTCGCCGGCGTTTTCGCAACTACCCCGATTACCATACCCGCGCGTACAACGTACAACTGGTACGTATGATTCCAACATAAAAATAATACACAAATGTCTAAAACTTTTAAAAACAACAAAAATTTAAAATAAATAAAATTTTATACAAAATTTATTTATGTATGATTTAATATCATAAAATTAAAATATATTCAACATATTTTTATAAATTCATATTGATTTGTGGTGGTTTTAATTCATTTCTAAAACTTTTGCTCGGTTGTGTACAATGTTGCAGTTTCTCGGTGCAAAATAAATTCCGTATTTCGTAATATGGAAAGTCAGTCGGACGGCACGAAGGCGCATCCACACTCCGGCGGGTGGCGGCGCATAAATATACGCGGGCAGCGGGGGCGGCAAATGCGGTCGGGCCCACAGCTCCAACTCCGGAACGCAAACGCAGAGATTAAGTGGCAGTTTATAAACATAAAGCAAAACGTTCCCGACTGGCCACCATCGCCGCCGCGACGACCCGCTGGCTAGTAACTCAGCACGCCGGCGAGCTTTCGGGCTTAACTCACCATCATCGTCCGAGCGCCACCGAACCGACCAAAGCTTTAAGGATTCGCCATGATATTATAAATATTTGTTATTTGTCTAGAGACTAGTGTGCTTACTCTAGCAGCAAATCATCAATGATTAACTTGGAAAGATTTGCGGAGCTTAAAGCTCCAGATCACAATTTTTTTTTAACTACATACTGTTAATATTAATATTATTTTACTTTAAAAGCTCAGGTGTTTTCAACTTGGGCAATACACAAACGAAGCTTGGTGGAAACTTTTTCGATCTAGTTAAATGGACAATGGCCCCGATTCCACCAGGAATCACAACAAATAATTAACTAGCTTTTTTTGGTTGGAATAAAGCTCGGAAAAAAGCTTTAAAAAAGTTTGCGCTTTGGGGACACAGAAAATGATCATAAACATAATTTACATTTTAAATTTTGCATGTGTATAATTCAGACTGACTCTTGACATTGATTTCCGGCCAAATGAGCTTTTTCACAGTTTGCAAAAAGTTTGCGAAAACAAATGATGATTTCGTGCTTAATTTAGCCGGGCAATATTTTGTTTCAAGTGTTATATGCGCGGTAATGCGCAGGATATGGGAAAACTTGAGGGTTCTTCCAGGACTTTCAGGACTCCATTGCAGGCGCAATTTCTGTTGTGTTGTGCTTGCCGAAACGATTCATTACATTTATGACGGCGCGTGCAATTTGCATTTTTTAAATTGCCTCCGACTACACGGCATTATCCTTATGTTCCTGCTCGCGCCTCGTAATTTGATATTTATTAAATTACCTCATTTACAGCCGAAAAGACCTCGTTATGTTTCTCCGTCATGAAAACTGCATTAGACGCATTTATCATGTTTACAATAAAAAGATGTGATAATATAAAGTATTATATATCAAGTGTGTAAAATGACACTTTTAAAAACCCCAAAGAAAAATTTACACATTTTCACATTATATGAAAATAATTTTTTATAATAATATATTAAGTATCAAGTGGCTAAACGGGGACTTTAGTCACGAGGTTGATTGAGAGCGGGCGTAGCAATCGTTTAAGGAATTGAGTGTTTTACGAGTACAACGTTTAGCCACGTGATGGTTACAGTATTCTTTCTATTTTCATTCTATTTCCATGTTTAGATTTTTGTATTTAAACTTTTGTATTTGAAATCTTTGAATCCGTAGGTACCGTAAGCAAATGCGCAGGCGCAAGCTCCGCCCCGTAGATAATACCCGTGGGTAAAGGTGAAAGTACAACGAATGTAATTTTTTAAAATCCTTTTTCATAAATATTTCAAATTGTAAAAAAAGTTGTGTCAAAAATTGTCAAAAATGCAATTTTAAACATATATATTTTTATTTATGAATTTTTACTTGATTATAAACTGGTGCAT